CACGAGCAAACCCTTGCATGACACAATCCAGAAGAACAAGACAGCAGACGATGAAGTAAAGATTACAAAGATCTTGAAGGAATTAAAACAGATGAACTTGATAACCGATGTTCAGCTGCAGCAATCACCTCCTGTTGGCTCCCAATCTTGGCTCTACTAGTTGCCTAAAATACACCAGCGACAAGTCCCTCTATGTCCAATAATTGATATGTCCGCTACTGCACACCACTTAGTTGAGAAATGGATTGTGCAATCATTGGAACCTGTAGGCAAGGTGCTCTCTATCTATTCTTTGAAGGATTCGTTGATAAAGTTAAAAACCTGAAGTGTAATGTTAAACTGATGCTTTCATTTGATGTAGAATCCCTTTTCACAAAAGTCCAATTGCTGGAAACTGTGAATTTCATCTGCGAGTATATAACCGAAAGTGACCTAAACGTCGACATTCCAGTGCCTAAGCTAAGGAATTAATTTTGCGGTGTACCTAATAGACAATTTTTGTTTGACGGAATCTATTACAGGCAAATCGATGGCATGGAGATGGGTTCCCCGTTGGACATCTCCTTGCCGACATCTTTCTCGCTAAGCTTCAGCGTGGTCCCATCCAAGCGGTTATTGTCATATTTGTTTCTTATTGGAGGTATATGGATGATTTTCGCACTGATGTCAACCGTGTGCTCGACCAGTTTAACAGCACACTTCTCTCAATGAAGTTCACTGGTGAAATGGAAATGAGGGTAAGCTGGCTTTTCTGGACGATTTGTTGAGCAGGCGAGAGGACGGATCATTTGAGCGTAGTGTCTTCCGCAAAGCTACATATTGTAGCGAGAACGACAAGACAGGGGGGTAGACGTTTATTGCACACCGAAAATGGGCACCTCCGGGTCTCACGCGCGCCATCGAATATCGACTAGATTTCCGTCCCACCACGCAACACAGGTACGGATGTTAGAGGCGAGCCAGTCCTTTCGCCTCGGGAGCTCTGACTTGGAAGTCCCGCCTTCCTGTTTTCGCCTCGATCTCCGCTTCTCTGCACCCGATTTGGATCGGCCAGGAGTCGTTCGAGAGCTCTCGACTTGCTTGTTCTGGGCTGTGTCAATCGGCTCGGCCTCGGTCCTGTGGGCTGCGCTAGCGGCGTATTTGTCTGATTTATTGCGCTGTCCACATATTCCCGCTCCGTAGTTCCGGGCCCAGGCTCGTCGCTAGCCGTCTTTCGCGATCCGCTCTCAGCTAGCTCCGAAGAGCTCCCCCGAGGCATTCTTGGAAGCGGCCCCTCTACACCCGCCCCTCCTCGAGGACCTTTCTTCCTCTCGTACCATGGTCGCAGGAGAGCAGCATTCACCCAACGTTTCATTCCTCCGCAGTCGATTAAGAAGTTGCCCGCTTTCTGGTCGATAATGGTGTAGGGGCCTTTCCAGCGTTCTCTGAACTTGCTTGCGCCCGGCCCGTCATGATCCGGCCGATCGTTGTTCCGTAACTTGACCCGTTCTCCAATCCTGAATGGCCTCCACTTGTGAGCCTCATGCCTGGCGTCGTAATTTCGCTTATTCCGCGCTTGTCGAGCTTTGGTTTCGCTTCTAGCTTTCCCTCGCAGTCGCTCTTGATGCCCAGCTGGATGTTTCCGCTCGCTCTGGTTCGGTAGGCAAGTATCGAGCGCAATCCGTGGTTCTCTGCCGAACAGTAATTCGAATGGCGCGACCTTGGTGGTTGATTGCATGCTGGTCCGATACGCGATCAGAACCTGAGGCAAAGCATCTTCCCATGCCAGCTTCGTGCAGTTTATCCACGTCTTCAATGTCCGGTTGAACCGCTCGGTCATCCCGTTGGTTTGTGGGTGGTACGGTGAAGTTCGCCGTCTCTGGATGCCCCACTTGTCCAACACTGCCTTAAACGCTTTTGACTCGAAGCAGGGCCCTTGGTCCGTGATGATACACTGTGGGATCCCATACCTTGCAGGCACATTGAATTCGAATACTTGCGACACTGTCTCGCCTGTTTGGTCCTTGATTGGTATGGCTTCCACCCATCGAGTGAAGTGGTCAATCATCACTAGAATGTATCTGTTTCCTGTTCGACTCACTGGTAAGGGCCCAAAGACGTCCAGTCCCCAACACTGAAGTGGCTCACCAACCTCCATCGATCGCATCGGCGGTCTCGGGGACTCCATCTCCCGACTCGTTTGGCAGTTTGGGCACTCCCGAATGTATGCCGCGACGTCCTTCCTCATGGTTGGCCAAAACACTCGCCTCCGCAGCAATTCAAAGACCCGCTCGAATCCCATATGGGCGCCATCATGAGTTATGCGCATCACACGTTCTCGCTGATTTGGTGGAACAAAAGGCACTTTCCGTCCGTCTATCGCCACCACCACGTTATCGTTTTCGACCTTCAACCTGTCCCAGATCTTGAGGAGTTCCTCCACCTCCTCCGATGTAGCCTCCGGTTTGGTGCCAGCCTGTAAGTGAGAGCACAACACATTCACGAATTCATCTGTCCTTTGATCTCCCAGCAGGTTCCTCTCCCCCATCGCGATCGCACGCACCGGTATGGCATTGTCGGGCATGATGTCGTCCAAACACGGGCGTGACAACATATCTGGCAATACATTCTGCGTCCCATCCACGTGCTCAATGATGAAGTTGAATTCCTGCAATCGGTAGGCCCATCGCGCAAGCCGTCCCCGCGGGTCTTTCGCCGTCATCAACCACGAGAGCGGTTTGTGGTCAGTGACGACCCGGAATTCATTCGCCAGTAAGTAATTTCTCCACTTCTCTAACGCCCACACGATGGCCAAGCATTCTTTCTCCGTTGTTGAATACTTCTGTTCCGCCCCCGTCAGCACTCTGCTCGCGTACTCCACCACCCCAGCCGGTTGAGACAAAACCGCACCGATGGCCACGTTGCTTGCGTCGACAGCCACAGTGAACCTCTCACCAGGATTGGGTAGCCGTAGACATGTCGGGGCTTCTGCTATGCATGCCTTTAGATGGTCAAAGGCTTGATCCGCTTCAGCTGTCCACACGAACGGCACGTCCTTGCGAAGCAGCTTTAACAACGGGCTGACCTTCTCTGCGAACTGGGGCACAAACTTTGAATCATATGCCACCACTCCCAAGAACGAACGGAGCTGACGCTTGGATTTTGGTTTTGCGAAGCACTCGATTGTCTCGCGTTTCTCCGGAAGTGGATGGACTTGACCATTGCCCACGATGTGACCCAAGCATACAATTGACTTTTGGGCAATCTGCGACTTTTTACGACTGAGTTTCAGACCAGCTTCGTCCAGTCTCTGCAGTACTGCTCCAAGTCTGGTCACATGTTCCTGTTCCGTCTCAGAGAAGACGATGATGTCATCACCATAAACAACCACGCCTTGCAGGTTCGCCAGGACCATCAGCAACAAACGCCTGAATGTAGCTGGGGCGTTGCACAATCCAAACGGCATTCTCAAAAACTCATACTGCTGGCCATTGACACTGAAAGCCGTCTTGTGGCGATCTTCTTCTGCGATCGGCAGTTGCCAATATCCCGAGCGGAGATCAATCAGAGATATCTGCTTGGCACTGTGAAGGCTTGAGAAAATTTCTTCCATCTGAGGCATCGGGAATGCATCCTTCACAGTCACCCTGTTTAGTTCTCTGAAATCGATGCAAAATCGATAGGTTCCGTCGGCCTTCTTCGTCAATAGCACGGGTGATGAATACGGGCTGTGCGTTCGCCTGATGATTCCTTTCGATTCCATCTCGGTCACCTGCTTCTGTATCTCAACCAAGGTGTTCTGTGGAATTCGTCTGAAGATTGGCTTGCATTGTCCTCCTGGGATCAACGGTATTCGGTGTTCAACCCAATTGCAAAATCCGTAATCATCTTCCGCGTCTGTGAATAAGTGGGCATACCTGCTCAGTACGTTGCGTATTGCACGGTTCTGACAATCAGGCACGGCTTTGAGGGCACCAACCCGGTCGGTTCTCCCCTTGTTTATCTCGATCGTCTCGTTAGCCACGATCACCACATCGTTTTTCAGGTCAATTGTGACACCGAGCCGTTTCAGGATGTCGGTTCCGATGATGGTTTCGGTCGTCTCCTCCACGATGAACATGTCATGGCTGATGAGCGTTTCTCCTATCCTGATTCGTAACCGCTGCGTGCCCGTCACTTTCAAAGAATGCCCGCCGACCGTCTGCATCGTGATTGAAGATGGGTTTACTGGAACCCCATTGAACCTCTTCGTAATTGACACTGCCGCTCCTGTGTCTACTATGGCTCGGACAGACACACCTTCTATAGTTACCTGGAGGACTGGTACTCGCCACCGACTCGGCATGGATAGAGAGAAACAATGGGGCACATTGACGTTGGTGCAGAATCTCGCCACATGACCACTCTGGTTGCATCGGAAACAGCGGCGACCGTTCCGGATTACCCGTACATTGCGTTGTGAAGTGGTGCTTGAAGACTCTATCGACAACAGCTGCTCCACCATTTCGGATAGGCGATTTACTTTCTGTTCCAACTCAGCATGCTGGATGCTTCTCACTGTCACTTGTTCCGACAAATTCTGGGCGACCGTCACCAGATCCAACGCTTTGCTGTCTCCCACCATCGACGCCAATTTCACCTGATCATGGAGTGGACCGGGCAGACTTCGGATAAACTGCTGTTTCAGTAGGCGCTCTCTTGCGTTACCCTCTAACTCGGGGAGCCCAATCGTTAGATGTCTGTCCAGCTGCTGGAAAAACACCATCAAATCCTCCTGTTCGTCCCATCTGGCTGCGTGAAATCGTTGCAGTGCTCGTTCTCTCTCCAGATCCTTCCCAAATTCTGCACACAAGGCAGCCCTCATCTCAGCGAACGAACAACCGGGTTTGGCCTTTCGAGTGAGCAGATACACCGCCTTGGCTCGTCCACTCAACCGTGTGCCCAAAGCAATTAGCAAATTTGCATCCCCCCTCACACCCGTGCAAGCCGCAATTCCGTCGAACTCATCGAGCCACGCCTCCACGTCACCGGCCGCAAATTGCTCCAACCGGGTCAACTCCATCGCGATTGGTCACGGCACCAGTGTAGCGAGAACGACAAGACAGGGGGGTAGACGTTTATTGCACACCGAAAATGGGCACATCCGGGTCTCACGCGCGCCATCGAATATCGACTAGATTTCCGTCCCACCACGCAACACAGGTACGGATGTTAGAGGCGAGCCAGTCCTTTCGCCTCGGGAGCTCTGACTTGGAAGTCCCGCCTTCCTGTTTTCGCCTCGATCTCCGCTTCTCTGCACCCGATTTGGATCGGCCAGGAGTCGTTCGAGAGCTCTCGACTTGCTTGTTCTGGGCTGTGTCAATCGGCTCGGCCTCGGTCCTGTGGGCTGCGCTAGCGGCGTATTTGTCTGATTTATTGTGCTGTCCACATATTCCCGCTCCGTAGTTCCGGGCCCAGGCTCGTCGCTAGCCGTCTTTCGCGATCCGCTCTCAGCTAGCTCCGAAGAGCTCCCCCGAGGCATTCTTGGAAGCGGCCCCTCTA